CCCCCAGCCTCTGCCTAGGGAAAGCAGCTGTCATCATTTTCCTCTCCCCCTATGAGGTATGTTAAGGTGGAAAGTGTGTGAATGGTCCATAATCCCCCAGGCAGCTTTTAAAACATGATCCTGGGACCTACACACCACCAGACATTCCAACTGCCTTGCGGGGGGGGGGGAGTATGAGGTGTGGAATGGAGTGAAGTCCAATCAGCTTCCATATGCAAAAGACCTTGAAGGTTCCATATGCAACTGACATTCCAACTGCCTTGCGGGGAGGGGGGTGAGTTTGAGGTGTGGAATGCAGTGAAGTCCAATCAGCTTCCATATGCAAAAGACCTTGAAACACTGGGCGGGACTGCACAAAGCAGCCAGTCAACCCAGCCAGCGTCTTCTGACTAACAGTTCAAGCGTCCATACACTAAAGGTGCCAAATTTAGAATGTTCATATAGAATGTTCTTACTCAATTATATATAAGGAGAGATTTATATCCTACTTTTCCTGTTACTTAAGGCAGCTTTTAGCTCATAATGAAAAACATAATAGGGGTGTGCAAAAAAATATTGATTCCCCACCCCCGCTGCAGTGTAGCCCATGGGGACCATTACAGTCAATAGGCCCCCTAAGCTATAATGGAGAATTGATCTGGGGGTATCTGGGTTGCTGGAGGGGTTGTTTTTTTGAGGTACAGGCATCAAATTTGCAGCATAGCTGCTGGCGCCTCTCTTCAAAAAAAACACCCCACGTTTCAAAAGGATTGGACCAGCGAGTCCAATTCTATGGGCCTCAGCAGGAGGTGCCCCCATCCTCCATTGTTTCTAATGGAGGGAAAAAAGGCTAGTGGGCAAGAAGCTGAAACATGTGAGCAGCCAGCTAAAACTTTGTGCGCCAGGGCTCCCGAGCGCAGCCTAGGGAACACTGCCCCCCACCTCCCAAACACTCCATGCTAGTCAGCAAAGCCCATGGGTTCTGGATGATGTTGTGAGAAGAAGGGCTCAGACTTTCTCCCGAATGATTAACAGAGAGTCTTGGCTGCGCAAATAATGTTGGTTCAAGGGCATTAGGAGAACTGGTCTGTGGTCAACAGCACAGCTGTCTCCTGCTTTCTGAGAAACCCAGATGGCACCCGCTTCCTCAAAGGGTTGGTCCTCTCTTGCGCCACCAAAATGCCTCCCAGTTTGAACCAGTTTCAGCAGCAGGCAAAAATCGGGCATGTGAGGCAGAGAGAGGCATTGCGCCCTGCAACCTGATATGGTTGTCAACCTCCAGGTGTGGCCTGGAGTTCTCTCGGAATCACCACTGATCCCCAGACAACAGAGATCAGTTCCCCTGGAGGGGATGGCAGCTTGGGAGGGTGGACCCTATTGCATTGTATCCCATGGTTGCCAGCCTCCAGGTGGGAGCTGGAGATCTCCTGGGATTACAACTGATCTTCAGGTGAGAGATCTGTTCAGCTGGCAAAAATGGCCACTTTGGACGGTAGACTAGATGCCAATATACTCTACTGAAGTCTTTCTAATCCCCAAACCCCGCTTTACTCAGGCTCCGCCTCCCCAAATCTCCAGGAATTTCCCAACCTGGAGATGGTGGTGACCTGTGGGCCGGCCGGAGGAGGGGTGGCCTAGAGCGACCACGGGTTCGATCCCTCAAGGCTCTTCTGATGTGCTTCTTAATGACGAAATCACTCCAGGCTCGGAAATCTCTTCTCTTGAGGGCGGAGGCTCTCTCGGCCCCGGCTGCCCAAACCGCACAGCAGCCCCCCTCCCACCTCCGGACTCACCCTTCTCCGCAGGCCCCGCAGGAGCAGATCCGGGGCGAAAATCCTCCTCCTTAAAAGGTGGTTCTGATCCTGCGGAAGATCCCCGGCCGGGCGAGCAGAACTCTCCGCGCGGGAACCAGACACGGGGCTGGTCCCCAATCCTGGCGCTCCAGGGCTCAGTCCCCCTCGCAGAGACCCTGGGCGTCGCTTTCCGCTCCGCATCAGCTGGCCTCGGTCTTCGCAGGGATTGGGGAGGGAGCAGAGGAGGCGGTACCGTACGAGCCTGTTGAGCACTGGAGGGGGCCGAAGCACTTCACACTTTCACCGTCTCGGCGCGTGGGAGAGGAGGGAGGACACACACACACACACACACACCCGGAGGGCGCTGAGCGGTGCGGGGGGTGTGCGCGCCCTGGAGAAAGCTCCGTCCAGACGCTCCGCAGGCAGAACCGGGCAACCAAAGACGCAGCAGCAGAAGCCCGAGCAGCTAAGCGGCAAAGCAGGGTCTGAGCACGTGGGAAAGGAGAGGCGGGGAAGGAACAACGGTTCAGAGGCCCTGGTCCTCTGGGTCCCAGAGCCGGGGGGAGGGGCATCGGGGGGAGGGCCTCGGTCCTCCTGAAGGCATGAGGGGCGACGACGGGGGGGGACACACACCACAAAGCGACTGTGACCTCGTACAGAAGAACGGTGTTGGTCAAAAGGGTGTAGACTTTCCAATTTCCGGGGGGGGGGGCTGGGGCTGGCCAGAGGCATTGCTTTGCTAGGAGCAAGGGTGGCCCCCGGGGGAGGCTGAGCACCTTCCTGAAAATTTCGGCGGAGGCTGATGCCCCTCCGCCCCCACGAAGATTACGCCTATGTTAAATCGGGGACATCATTTTATGGTCGGCTGGGGACAAACATGGAACACGCTGCTGCCCCCACCCCGGTGGACCTCTGTGCTGACACCTTCGTCAATGCCTGCGTGCACGGGAAATAGATGCAGTCGGCGATTCAGCCGCAATCTCCCTGGCGTGCATTTAATCAGTATTAGTTTTTAAAATGTTATGAGTCTTTAAGGAGGAAGTGGACTTCTGTCACGTAGCGTTGCCAGCCTCCAGGCGGGGCCTGGGGATCTCCTGGAACAATGTATCTTCCGAATACAAAAACCGGTTCCCTTGGAGGAAAGAGTTGCTTTGGAGGACGGACTTTATAACTTCTTTCGTTTGTTTGTTGACCTTACATCTGCCTTTCTCTCAGAGGGACTTAAGGCCGATTACACATAGCAAGTCAGTACAATGAACCCACAAAGCAGGACATTCAGTAACCAATACATGAGGGTTTTAGACGTCTGGAACAACCAGGGGGGAAATCCCTGAAGCATAACATAAGAGCCTGCAGAGGTCCTTCTCCTCCCCAAACACTGCCCTCTTCAGGTTCCATCCCCAAATCTCCAGGAATTTCCTGACCTGGAGCTGGCAACACTGTGTTCTGTCGGGTAGGAGTGCAGGTCCCCATATCCACCTTGTCTACTTTTGGGATGCTTTGGGGTCGAAAGGAAGCCCCCTCCCACCCCATCCCCTTCTTTAAAAGGTAAAGGTTCCCTTGCTTGAAAGCCAGTAGAATCTGACTCTAGGGTTGCGGTGCTCATCTCTGTTTCAAAGCCGAAGAGCGCTGTCCGAAGACGTTTCCATGGTCATGTGGCCGACATGACTAAACACCAAGGCTGTTTCCTTCCCACCGAAGTGGTACCTATTTATCTACTTGCAATTTCTTGCTTTCGAACTGCTAGGTTGGCAGGAGCTGGAACTAGAGTCGGGAGCTCACTCTGTCATGCGGCACACTTGGGTCTCGAACTGCTGAACTACCAACCTTCCACAGCCCGCAGATAAGCGTCTTAACCACTTGAGCCACCACAGCCCCTTCTTAGGGTTCCTCTTTTTCCATTCATCTCCAAACCCGCTGGTTTGCTTGAGCAGCCTTTGTTTGTCCTGCAAACAAATCTGGAGGCACCAGAGTGGGGCAGAGGGAGGAATATCCCCCTGGCAGCCCACCTCAATTGTGTACCGCAGTTTCTTCCTGCCTAGTTAAAAAATGATATTTAGTGAAACTTCAGAAATAACAACTAATCTCTGCTGGGAGGAGAAGGGGAATAACCTGCAGGCAAATTCCCTTCTTCCTTCTCCTTCTTCTCCTGCTCTCCCAGAATAATGTGAATTCTTCCACTCCTGGCCCCTGTGTTATTTTTGGCAAATGCAGATTTAGGAAATGTTTAACATGTAGCTTCCCCTATGGGTCCAAAGAACCAAGGAAATGAATGCCCAATGGTCTGATTGTGTGGGGTATTTGGTGGCAGGGAATAGGGAAAGAATGTGCGTGTGTGTGTGTAGTGGGGACAAGTACTGTCAAGTTGTAGCTGACTTATAGTGATCCCATAGGGCTTTCAAGGTAAGAGACAAACAGAGGAGGCTTACGGTTGTCTGCTTTTGCATAGCAATCCTGGGCTTCCTTGGTGGTCTCCTAAGTAAAGGTAAAGGTTTCCCTTGCTCGAAAGCCAGTCGAATCTGACTCTAGGGGTGCGGTACTCATCTCTGTTTCCAAGACAGAGAGCCAGCGCTGTCCGAAGATGGTCATGTGGCTGGCATGACTAGACACCAAGGCACACAGAACGATGTTACCTTCCCACTGAAGCAGCACCTATTTATTTACTTGCAATTTCTTCCTTTCAAACTGCTAGGTTGACAGGAGCTGGGACCAGAGATGGGAGCTCACTCCATCATGCGGCACTCAAGTCTCGAACTGCTGAACTACCAACCTTCTGCTCTGCAGTTCAGCATCTTAACCACTGAGCCACCCCAGCTCCTTAAGGTGGTCTCCTACCCAAGTATTAAGTAAGTATGATCCTGCTTAGCTTCTGAGATCTGATGAGATCATGCTAGCCTGGGCCAACCAGGTCAAGGCTATATAAATTTTCTTAAAGAGTATCATATCTGTAGGCAGCCCCCTAGCCAGAAATCTTTTGGCTGGTGGGGCAAGGGTCTGTTCTGGCCAGTTTCACTCCTCTCCCCTCTGCTGTTAAACCTAACAGCTGATGGGTGGGAGTGAAACTGACCAGAAGTGGCTTGGCATCTTCCCTTCCCCAGCCCCCCCACCGCTGTGAGGGCCAGGTGCACTTGTGTGGGGCAGGGCTCGTGTGTGGTGGGGCTGTGCCCCCAAATGCCCCACTGTGACTATGGGCCTGTCTGTAGATGTCATGGTGCCAACCAATGTGTTTCTTTATGCCCACTTGTTTCTTCCCAAAACAAAAAAGGCTGTCTTCCACATCTGTAAACCCTAGGAGTTTACAGACATCCCAATGAGAAATGCAAGTAAAATTAAAGCAAGAATTAGAAGCACACATGCTATTAGACATTGCACATATGATTAAAACCAAGCTAGCCAAGACACGGTTGGGATGGGTTTAAGTTGCTAGACTTCCCCATCACAGATTTTCCAGTCATCCAATAGGGAGAGAGAACAGAACAACTACTGGCAGCTGGGAAACTATGTACAAGGCCAGCTTGATGTAATTAAAAAATGAATTATCATATGGTGTTGTGTGTGGTATAGCCAGGAGATCCTAGGATTGTCTGGCAGCCTGAAGCTCTAGCTCTTTTGTAGTATTATGCAGCGAGCTAGGCTTCCTTTTTTGGGACTGGGAGTGCTGTGGCTGACCCAAGGTCACTCAGCTTGGCTTCAAGTGGAGGAGGCCGGAATCGAACCTGGTTCTCTGCATTAGAGTCCGTCGCTCTTAACCACTATACCACACTGGCTCCCAGCTTTTTGTAATACATTGGTGTAACATACATGTGAAACATTGGAAACAGGAAACACAAATGACATCAAGGAAGGGAGAACGTGCTTTTTAAATTCTTTTTTTTTAAAAAAACAGCCATTGTGCTGGTTTACTGAAAATATTTAGCATTTTTTAAAAAATCAAAGCCTTGCTGCTTACAGAACACTCCTTTGGGGAAGTGATAACAAGAGGAAGTGGTGGGTGCTACAAGCATGGACGGCTTCAAAAGGGAATTAGATAAGCATATGGAGCAGAGGTCCATCAGTGGCTATTAGCCACAAGGTATAGCTAGGGGCTCTGGGGCAAGTGATGCTCTGTCTTCTTGGTGCTTGGGGGGGGGGTCAACAGTGGGAGGGCTTCTAATGTCCTGGCCCCACTGCTGGACCTCCTGATGGCACTGGTATTTCTGGCCACTGTGTGACACAGAGTGTTGGACTGGATGGGCCTTTGGCCTGATCCAACTTTGGCGTCTCTTATGTTCTTATGAAGGAGCCAGTCACGGTACCTCATCCTTCTTCACCTGGCTTGGGAGAGCCAGTTTGGTGTAGTGGTTAAGTGTGCGGCCTGGGATCTGGGAGAACCGGGTTTGATTCCCCACTCCTCCACTTGCAGCTGCTGGATGACCTTGGGCAAGCCATAGTTCTGTCAGAGCTGTTCTCTCAAGGACAGTCCTGGAAAGGGCTCTCTCAGCCCCATCTACCTCACAGGGTGTCTATTGTGGGGAGGGGAAGGGAAAGGAGTTTGTAAGCTGTTCTGAGACTCCGAGTGAAGGGCGGGGTATAAATCCAATCTCCTCCTCCTCCTCCTGGATGAAGAGCAGCCCCCTTGGCTGTGTTCTGGAAAATCACTACAGTGTGAAAGGAGGAAGAGAAGACTCGACTCAGCACCAGAGATAGGATAGTGTTGCCAACCTGTGGGTGGTGGAAATTCAAAAACAACATCCGTGACAAAAATAACGAAGAGTCAATAAAGGTATGCTGCAAAATCATTTACTGTAGTAATTCTGTAGAAAATTCTCTTCTATTATGGTTCACATGCAACGAATGCTGCGCAATGTAAACAATTCGTTTCACAATAATTGCTTTATCTGAGTGTGTAGCAATCACAATTCTTATCCATTACTACTTATCAACTCTTGAAGGAAACATTCCATGTTGACTCTCTAATAACAGAACCCAAGGTCTTCACATTCATTGTGTGTGAGCGATAATAGGAGATAATTTTCTACAGAATTACTACAGTAAATGATTTTGCAGCATATCTTTATTGACTCTTCGTTATTTTTGTCACGGATGTTGTTTTTGAATTTCCACTTCCTCCCTTGATCTCTCATTTTTAAGTTCTGGGTGGTGGCTGGAGATCTCCCGCTTTTACAACTGATCTCCAGGAGACAGAGAAAAGTTCCCCTGGAGAAAATGGCTGTTTTGGAAGGTGGACTATGGCATTATACCCAATCAAAGTCCTTTCCCTCCCCCAAACCCTGCCTTCCTCAGGCTCCATCTCCCAAATCTCCAGGTACTTCCCAACCCAGAACTGACAGCCCTAAGACAGGGCCAGGTTTACAGCTCCTCCTACCTTCAGACTTTGCTGTTTTCCCATCCTCAGTGGCCTGGTTCGTTTGAGAGCTCATGAGCACTTCCTACCAGTGACTTCAGAATGCCCAAGTATGTCTCTATCCATGAAGCAGA